CTCATTCCCTGGGTCACCAGGTGTACTTACTGCTGACAGCTCAGTGCTGAGTCTCTCTCTAGGAACTGACCTCAGAGAGGTTCCCTTGCCTAGAGTTAAGTCCCCTGCCCAAGAGCAGCCTGCATCCAAGGACTGTTAGTTATGTCATTACAAAAGCCCAGCCCCCTTACCTATATTTGGGGCATCTCTGAAGGGCCAGCCCAGCTTCAGAGGCCAGGGCTGGCTGAGCCCTCTGTTGCAGCAGCACGGTGGTTCAACCTCTCCTGTTACACAACACTGCTGTCCTCATTCCTTCCCAGAGCATTATTCCCAAGAGCACCCCCCAGTAAAGGAAACTCCTTCCCCAAATCTCTGTTTGTGGGGAAACACAGTCCCAAAGAAGGGTATTTCAAATAAGCAAGTGCCTCATGTCATTAGAAATCAAATGAAGGAGAATGAAAAGTTAAAAAGGTTAATACAGGTTACCTGGATTCTTGGGAGAAAAAAACAGCTAAATTTATTCTACTGATTGGTTAGCGCCTCATTTGTTTTACTAGGTACAAAGAAAAAAACATATAATGTTCTGAGACTGCTAAGTAGGAATTAATTTTATTAGTGTTAAAATAGTAGTACATGAACATTCATTATTGGAAGCCCATCTGATAACACTGGCTAATATTTCATTAAAACAGAACACATTTTTGTGAGTGTGTGAGTTTAACAAACAATAAAGGTTTCTTACCTCCCAAACACGAGGATGTTGTGTAATTTTATGCACCCGAAAATCAGGAAGATTCTTTTGTAAGTAGTCTGCTAGGAGTTCTGCTTTAGCATAATATGGGCAATCTGCTCTACCTAAAAGAGTTCAAATTTGCAACATTTTCTTATATCACACAGAAACTATCATGTAGTTGTATTTGTCATATAATTACAGAATTAATCATATAGTTATGATATATTTTATAACATAGAATTATAGCATTAAACTGCCACCATATAAACTTCTGATTTTTATAACAGTAGTAAAAATAAAATGATCTCACAGGAGGTCAGAATCTTAAGTAATAAAATGTGGAAAGAAGAAAAGGCGATTGGATATTTACTCTCCTCCAGGAGTGTGCTAGACTTCACATTCTCTAAGGGGCTGCCATGCTACTAAGCATGAACTATTAATAATGAGCTAGTCATTAGTAGCCACTAAAAGGCAAAGTGTAAAGTGAGGAGTGGTGGTAAAATCACAGGTAGATTTGATATGTGTTCCAGGGAGTGGTACTGGGGGGGGAGGAGAAGCAGAGAAAAGTCTGGGATAACTCCTAGCTTCTGGCTTGCGTAGATGATCCTGTACTTACTGAACAGAAACCACAGGTAAGACGTTTAATTGTAGACAAATGCAGCTGGAGGTATTCGCAGTTTATCTAAGTGGATAAGCCCAGCAGGTAGCTGTACCTATAAGTCTGAAGTCCAGGCCCCATGTAAGGGCTTAAGAAACAGATTTTGCGGCCATCAATACACAGGAAGTTAGAGCCGCCAGAGTAGATGGATTGGGTAGGTGTCTGATGGGAGTTGGAGGGGCAGGGGCCCAGTGCAGAACCCCCTCTGCAACAATTTTCCCCAGTTACTCCCAATCGTGACTTCCTCCACTTCATGGCGACTTCTAAATCATCAACCCTCTCAACCACTCCGTCTGTTAGCCTCCCTGTTTAGTTCAAATCCATGGTTCATGAGTTCAAACCACACTCTAGCTCATGTTTTAAATTATCTTGCCCCACTATGTTTCTGGCAAATCAGCCTGGTAAAAGCCTCTCACCCTGGATGAACGCAGTTACCTGCCTTTTCTGTTTCTGGGTTCCATCTGCTGCTAGGCACCCCTGGAGAAACATGGGAGAAGCAAGCAGAGAGGCGCCATTATAAATTCATGGTCACTGGCCTCAACTGGCCTTCAGCTCTGCCTGGAGACTCTTCTATTTTCCTTATCAGCACTCTCTTCTGTTCTCCACAATTTCCATTCCAAACGTGGCCCACTTCTTGCAAACTTCTTCCTTCTCTCCATTTTCCCACACTGTCAGAAGAGATAACCTTGCTTTCTACTTTACAAAACCAAAACCAAATCAAGGGCGCCTGGGTGGCTCAGTTGATTAAGTGTCTGCCTTCGGCTCAGGTCTTGATCCCAGGGTCCTGGGATTGAGCCCTGTATTGGGCTCCTTGCTCAGTGGGGAGCCTGCTTCTCCCTCTGCCTGCCACTCTCCCTGCTTTGCTCTCTCCCTCCCTCTCTCTCTGACATAATAAATAAATAAAAATCTTTAAAAAAAAAAAAAAAGAGTGATCTAAAAACAAAACCAAATCATACAAAAATGTTGTCATTTGGGAAATCCCCTAACCTCCTGCCATCATACCTACAAGCCTGTCTGCATCTGGACTCATCCTTTCCTTCTTTCTCCTATTCATGGAAGATGGCTCCTACCTCCTGTTCAGCTCTAACCTCACCACTTAGGCTCTGAACACCACCCTCTTCCTCCTTCAGAACTGCCACCAACTCTGCTCCTCTCTTTCAGCACCTTATCCCTATTCTTAATGGTCCTTTTCCATCCTATTTAAATATAGTCAAGTTACATTTAAGTTTCTCCTGTCTTAAGAAACAAAAAGCCTATGTCCCTCTCTAGCTATTGCATTCTACCTGTCTTCTTCTATTAAAATTTCTTGAGAGAGTTCTCTACACTTACCATCCTCAGTTCTTCACTTCCATTTGCTTCCCATCCCCCTGCAATCTGGCTTTAACCACAGTTCTCTAGAGGGGTATCAAGGACCTCCATGTCACTACATCCAATGGATACATTTTGGTCATTTTCTTGTTGGCATTTGCCTTCTTCTATCCTTCTGAAACACCCACTATGGTGGGGGTCATTCTTCAGGTTTTCATCCTACTTCTCTGGTCATTCTCACTATACTTTGTAGGTTCTTATTCCTTTATTGATCCACTAAAAGGTTAGCATTCTTCAAGGCATCTTTATACTCTATGCATTCTTCCTGGGGGATCTCCTCCACTTCCTGGGTTCAAGTAGCAATTTGCACATCCAGTTCAGAACTATCGCCTTATCTAGATGTTTATACTTTCCTGTATTTTTCCATCTCCCTCTGAATGTCTCATAGGCCCTCAGCATGTCTAGTACAGATTTTGCCAAAACTCCCGCACCAAATTTGCTCTTCTCTTATGTTCATTATGCTCAGTTATTTAAGAGAATTAAGAGTATCCAGAGTATTAAACCTACTTTTCCACTTTTTTTTCCCAATGACTCATCTACCCATTTTTCCAAACCACTGGTTGGAAATAATTTTAACTCTTTCTTCTCCCTTGCCTTCCTCCACCCAATCAGACATTTAGTTCTATGAATTCTGCCTCCCTAATATCTCTCTAGTTCACTCAATTCCTTCCATTTCCATTTTCCACCATACTAGGCCAGGCTACCACTATCTTCTTCCTGGACTATTGCAACTAACTGGGGTCTTGGCATTTAATCTTTCTCTTCCCATAGAGAATACCATTCAGATAAAATGCAAATTTGATTATGTCCTCTCCTTCCAAAAGCCTTCTATGTACTTTAGATAACGTTTGAAATACTGAACATGGCTCACAGGAATCTATATCTAATTCTGGCCTCAGCCTATGACACTCTCTTTCTTGTACCCTTTGCTACAATCCTACTAAATCTATTTCCATTTTCTAGCTTTCCTCATTCCAACCCCAGCCCCTGCCATGGATGAGTTAATCACTCTCTTCTTCCCTACCTCCTTCTGCTAGGTAACTCTGCTTAAAGATCTCTGCTTAAAAAACCACTCCATCCAAGAAGCCTTTGCCTGACTAAAGGCTCCTGCCCCTGCTCCTATAGAACCAGCCCTGCCACTAGCCCACATGTAACATTCTTTGTAAGTGCCTGTATCACTGCCTTCCCAGCATATAGTCAGTCAGTGCTCAAAAATGTTCTGAATGAATAAAGAAGCAAAGGAAATAGATTTCCAAGCAGATGGGAGATGTCAATTGTGTTAATGCATCAGAAAGTTCCAATAAAGACTGGACAGCTTCTGTAAAAGTCACTGGTGACTGATGAAGGCCATTTCTGAAAGGAGGCAGAAGTAGAAGCCAGACTGAATGGAAGAAGTACCTGAAGAAACAAAAGCAGTCTACTCTTTCAGGAAGCTTGCTGAGAAGGGACGGAGGCAGGTACAATAGCCCGTTGTTTTTACTAAGACCCTTTAGTGGTTTTCCTGATGCCAGTGACATTTTCCATCCTTTTCCTCCATTTGCTGACAAAGGTGGGCTTCCTAAAATGCAAACCCATTAAGGATACTCTCCTGCTTAAAAAAATTTTAAGACTCCTCATTGCTTTCAAGATACAGTTCAAACACCTTTGTTTGGGGCACTTTAGGTGCCAGGATCCGGCTGTGGCTCCCATTCTAGCCCCAGGTCCAGTCACTTCCTCCATATCTAGTTTCTCCATTAGGCCATGAGACTTCTAGCTGTGTGCCTTTATCTGGAATGGCCTCCCTATCCCAAACCTTCACAAAATCAGCTGCTGCAACACCTCCCAGAGCCCTGTGCACATCTCCCTCATTTCATTAATTACAGTGGATCAAAATTACTTGTTTACATGCTTCGGTACTCCGTGAGACTGAAAGTTCCTCGAAGGCCCAGGTATATCTTTTCCCCCACTGTGTCCCCAGTGTCCGGGAGTGCTTTGCAGAGGACCCTGCCCAATAAGCATCTTTGAATGAATGCATAAGAAGCCTGGGGTAGTCCATATAGAGGTTGGAATTGCTAGAACAAAAGGCAGTTAAGAAAATCACTGCTCAGCGACCAAAGGGGGTGAGTAGTTGTCGGTGTTTTGAGCGGTCTACAGGCGGACGTGGGGATCACTCACCCGCAAGCACGAATTTGGCCATGTTAAAGCCTCAACCCAGGGGCAGGAACCGCGGCTCGGCGGTCTCCTGGCAACCACGGCATGGCGCAGGCGCACTCTGAAGTTGAGCGAGGCTTCTGGGGCCCTGCCAGAGGGGTTAGGTGTTGGGGCACACGATCATACACTGTCTTTAAAAGCTTTATGCTTTCCCCTGTCCCTATACCTGAACCCAAGGAAACTAGTCGTTCTCTTCGGTAAGCTTTTTACTGAGCAAACTTCTTCGACTACCGCGAACGTAAGCTTTTTGACCTATGAAGGATCCGTAAAATCTCGCGATACTCCCAGCTCGCGAGAAAGCTGTCATGGCTGCGCCTGTATAGAACCACGGGGTTCTGACCTCAGGTGAGTGGACAACGAATATAGGCGGAGCATTTGGCAGTGCTACACCGTAGACTTCTTGAATTTTGGAGGAAGATCTTAGGAGTTGCTTGGGTCTTACCTTTAGGGAGGTGGGTTAATACGGGGTGGCCCAGCTTGGGAAAGATTAGCTCATAACACTTTATGAGATTTGGTGATACTGGCTGATATCACCCTCCCAAGCTCAGGCCGCATGCAAGCGTCACCTTGGTTTGTTGATTCCTCTCCTCACTGGTTCTACTTGTCCCAGCCCCTGTGCTTAAAGTCCGGGTTCGGCCGTTGCTAAATCTTCATTTTAAAAAAGTATCCGTCAACGTTAAAGTTTTTTCATTGAAGACCTCTCCAAAGCAATGGTAACATAAAATGCCTTTCTTTTTTTTTTTTTTTAAAGATTTTATTTATTTATTCATGAGAGACAGAGAGAGAGAGAGAGGCAGAGGGAGAAGCAGGCTCCCAAGGAGC